GAACTTGACATAACTTAACATCATGATTAGTGTATCATCTGAGCCACCATGGAAAGCAAATCATACTGAGCTCAGTGAGAAAAGGGCCAAAACATAATTTATGTGCATCAAAACATCGATAAAATCAATACAAGATGGTCCATTGTCCTACTTAAAATCATATTAAATAAAATTATCATGATTTAGCTCTTTGTTCTCTCCTTTACCCTATATGATCTTAATCATTCAAGGGATTCGTGTTTTGGTGATTCTGGAGGACCCTTCATGTGTAGAGATTCAAAAACGAAAAGATGGACTCAGTATGGGATTGTTAGTTGGGGGCCATCATACTCGTGTGGAATAATGTCTGGCGTCTACACAAAAGTAAGTAACTACATTGACTGGATCAACAATGTTATATCTACTGATGGAGAATGGGGAGACTGGACAAATTACACTGATTGTGCAAATGGTATGAAAAGCAGGGCCAGAATCTGTACAAACCCAGAGCCAATAGGAAATGGTACGTGTAAAGGAATTGGTAAAGTACAAAAAGATAAGGAGACTGGATTGTATGTGGATATCGAGACAATGAAGTGCAAAGACGCTGGGGAACATTGGGAGGATTGGTCAACGTGGTCTAACTGCTCCGTTGTCTGTAAAGCAGGGACGAAATTCAGAACCAGGAAATGTATCAAGCAGGTCTCTGGCAATAATTGTCCTGGAGCACAAGGAAAGGCAACAAAAGATCCACAAACTGGAGATATAGTTGACACACAGATTAGAATCTGCGGTAAGAGATGCTGATAGAATTGGAAATAACTGTAGGTTTTACTTATGATGAGATAAAGTAAATTTTGCAAATATAACTATTGCAATAAATTATTGTAGATGTAATTTTATAAAATGTTATTAACAGACTGAATGACTGACTCACAGAAGTCCAGACGGTTGGATAGGTCATGACAATAGCTTCTAGGCTGACGTTTTTAAGTTCATGTTGATATCATGCTGAATTTGTATTGTATGTTTCTGCATTTCGTTGAAAGGTTAATCACATTCACCACAATAAGTGTTCAAATACTAATTGAATAAATATGTGAATGAGTCAGAATTTGTATAAAGAGAATCAAGAATGATATGCGGTAAAACAATTCTCTGGTTAATAATAAAGTATAAACATGCATCTTCAATTAATACTCGGAAAAGAGAGATCCTTCATGAATGATACCCGTTGACTTCACTAATTGACGTTTTCCAGTTGCAGTATTCATAATTTAGCATCTGATATTAAGTGTATATGACTAGTTTGCAAACGGAGTTTGTTTCTTTTTCCTTTTTTTCCTTTTCTGTCACCCTTTGGGAACTCTGAGGGCAGATTTGTATTGATCCATTTGACATTCCGTATATAACTCCCATATTCAATGAGTTAAATCATTATGCTCAAAAATGAGAAGAAATGTAGAAACAGAAATGTAGCACAGATTTCGAAGCTGTTCATAAGGCTAAATATTAACATTCATCGTTACTTCTAATAAAAATTTAACACTCCGCAGTGATTAAAGTGTGCGCCTGACCCGGCTACGTATAGCACAGAGTTTATACTGGCGGATTAGACTAGTTCATTTTTTATATGTGTGTGAAAGCTTTCTCTTATTTGCGTTTTTTCGTTTAGTACGGTTTTGTTATAATTGCCGAGGTCATATAACCGGGATAAAACAATGATTATCGTTGACTGCCCACACACAAAACATACGTTGAGTGAACAGTGTTATTACAAACAACAGGCTTTAGAATACAAAGCGTGGTGTGATAATAAGCTGTACACTACCACTGCTGCATGTAAATATTACTAATTTACTAGGGCTCCCAAAGAGTGGATAGGGAGGTTGTGTTTGTCACTTTTAAATTTTACATTTCAAAATTGTCATTTTACATGTCATAATTTGTTGGTTTCATTCGTTTAGCCAATCAAAACATTGCAAAACAATAAATTGTATGTTACGTACAATCAATTTTGTTCAGTTTTGATTAGTTGTCAGAATAAAGTTACGTTCATCTGAATCCATGTATCAAAACAAAAATCCTATTTTCACTTCAAAATACTTCAGTGAGATGAAGGCTCGGAATTGTCACATGCAATAACTTATTGTCGTATTCGTTATTTTATCTTCTCGATAGTAGCATTTAGTCGCACATTTGATGCCAGGTCACCTTGTCGCGTACCTCTTGGGGAACCCCACATTTATGTGTGTACTCATGGAAGTAAATTCCCCGGTGTAGCCGAGAGCCACAAACTTTTCAACAGGTTCGAAATGACCAATTTCTCTCATATATACTCTAAATATTTTATTATTTAGCACCTACAAAGTATTGCTAATAACCATATGTAATTTCAATAAGGAAACTTATCTGGCTACATATAAATTCAATATCAACACTAGCTGTTCACTCATCCTAGTATTCCGTGATTCCGCGTCGCCGCAGAAAAACCGCAGAAATTTGCATTTTCATTTTTTTTGCAGAATTTTTGTTTTAGCACGGAATTTCGCGGAAAACATGATTTTTCCAGTCAACCATCTCATCTCATATTTGTCACTCACCTTAACACCCAAAGACTCCGCTCGTTTGTTGTCAGATACTTGTGTTTTGTCAGATTTTCAAGAGGAAATCTGAAATCTGTTTTAAATATTCTCGAACTTCCGCCTTTGCACTTAGAGGTAAGACTGCGTCAAACATAATCACGAAATTTGAAACTGATGACTGTCCCTCGTAATTGTTTTGCAATAATATGTTTAATATTGTATTATTTTGTATTCTAACGCAATAAATCATGCTTCTTCTTGCGTTTTACTTCGTCATATATAAATAAACGACATCTGAATTCCCTGCATATTGATCTGGAATTTCGTGATACTTCGAATTTCGTGATAGTTCACAAGTGAGCATTTGGTAAGTTTTGTCGCTAATTGATTAAAATTGCATCTGATGCTATTACTGCAGTTGTCCATTATCGCTGAATAAAGCAGCATGAGTGGAGTTCAAGAATTTTGAATTATTCATTTTTTGGAGAAAATTATTGATTTTAGCTTTATGTTAGTCTCAGATTTTAGCAAGAATTTAACTTTTTGCACATACTTGAACCACAAAATTTCACTTTTCCCCGTGCAGAATTTGGCGCAGAATCTTAGATTTCATGCAGAATTTGGTGCAGAATTTGGCTTTTTCATGCAGAATTTCTGCGCAGAATTTGCATTTTTCTCATGCAGAAAACTAACACGTCCTGGCTTACCTTGTGGTGACAAACCCTGGATTTTCGCTATTTATAGTTTATCAACACCTGGACGCATGCGCATTTTATAGTTTATCGGGCACTTTAATAATACTGATAAATTAACTATATCATCAACTATACGTATATCAAACCCAGTTCACATTAACATTAAAATATGTTTGGGACATTTTGTGAAATGAATAGACAAGGCATTAAAATGTAAGATGCCACCACCTGGCATTTGTTACAAACTCTGAACCGCCGTCATAAGAGTTGGCGACTTTAACAATATGGCACCACTCCTGTGGTTGCGACATTTTTTATACCTAATGTCCTTTTTAGAATCACTTTACAGATCGTGTGGGCCATTGTTGCTTGATTTATAGCAAAACATCGACTTGTGAGCGTTGGTGGCCTTGCACCTTTTTAAAAGATCTCATATCTTAGAAGCGTATTGGTTCAAAAGATCCTAAAAGACCTAACATATTTGAATATACCGTGCCCCTATCCATTAGGCCTGCTCCCCCTCCGTCCCATTTTCCCGATCACTGGGCCTGAAAACGAGGCTTATGGAGGTGCCGTTAGATATGAGCATGGATGTGGACCTTCGGTAGAAATTGAAACTGAACAGTTAAAATCAGCCATTATAGCTTAAGACTAAACAAAATATTTGGACAAGTGATGGATTTACTGTTTCATTATACACAGGATCATAGACCTATAACAGTATGTGGTTTGTTATAAACCACCAGAACCCTCCGTTTACATCATCCTATAATGCTACTGGATACAGAATGTACAGTAAAGTATTCCTCGATAATTTAGCCTTGGCCTTTCTGACAGACCTGGGTCTAGTTTTATCATTTTACAAGATTTACAATTGCCACAAAATTTTCTGACAATATAGAATTATACTACGTTGATTAAAATTCTGAAATTCCAGGACTTGAACATATTATAACAATCCATAGGATGGATATGAACATGATCATAACATACTGTATGTATGAGTAGACAATGGTAATGCTTGTAGCTACAATGGAGCCGAATCAAATCATAATTACCATTTGTAATTAAAGAATTATACTATGTAGACAAATTCTGAAATTCCTAGACTTGAACATATCATTTTGGTTCTATTAAGAACTTAGACGTATTGTACTGTGAACACTTTAAGAAGAAAAAATTATTAAACATATTTATCATGAAATCGTTGTATCAAAAGAAATAATCTCAATTAAAAAATATTTTAAAGTTGCATAATATTTTTATGCTTTATGAGCATTTTTGGCTGTTATTGCCTCTATCAAGTTACACTACAAACAAATAATCAAACAAAATATAACTGGAAGATTATACAATGTACAGGGTGGTCAAGAAAAATGGAACTCCTTGCACCATTTTCCTCATATCTTTGTCATTTTAAAAAATAACTCCCTGATATTTTACACATTTGTACATCATTCAATTTCCTACCAGCCCACTATATTTCATGACCATCAGATTGATAATCACAATGTCACAGCACTTTAAAGAACATGCCCTAGTGGCCACTATTGCGCTTTCGAAACCTGTGGGGATATGGCAGAGATAGAGAGTATGAGAATGACCTCAGGACAATCGCAAACCTCAAAAGTGAGATCATCTGTGTCAGTCAGGCCATGCCTACTGAGAAATACATTCGGGTCATTGACAACTGTGCAGGTTTGCCTACAGCCCAATAATGGCCAAATCTGAAGCATGTTATTCAAAGTGCTGTAAAATTGTGACTATCAGTCTGATTGTCATGAAATATGGTAGGGTGGTAGGAAATATCAGGGAGTAATTTTGTAAAATGACAAAGATATGAGAAAAATGCAGGGTTTCCATTTTTGGACCACCCTGTACATGTATACATAATTTGTTCCTATTTGCAGAGCAGTGCTTGTGGAATTTGCATACATATGTCTGTAGTAGTATAGTTCCTATGTCTTCATGATCCAATTCATCATAGTCTGTAACTGTTTAATATGATGACTCATAATGACTAGTAAGAATCTACATCATTTTCTATAAATTAACATTCAGTGTACTAGGTTTGTTGTCATCATCCCATTGCTGCCCGTCCAACTTTGTTCATCACTTTAGCATAAGCCTTATTTTGTTCTAGAAGTTCATATACTTGTTTTTCAGCTAATTTTTGTCTCTGTTCTGTGTGATATAATGCCTCCATCAGTTCAGAATTTTCACTATATAAGTCTTTTACTAAGAGATCAGATTTGGCACTGTGTTGTAACTGCAATAAAGATGAAACATATTGTTTAACATGAAGATAAAAAAGGCATCAAAAAAATTAAACAATTACATATTTCGTATTTCTTCGTGGTAAGCCAATTCAACCAAATATACCATATCCATTCACTTTTTTTTTTTTTTTAAATCATTTTATTTAGCCTAGGGTTTGCAGTTTACACTATTACATCCCCTAGGGGTCTACATGTAAAATTTTGAGATGTCATGCAATAGGTTAGACAGTTTTGTATGGTTATAAGAATCTCTGAGTGTCTCTGATGAATGTCTGGACATGATTAAATAGAGTGCAGTTGTCAATGAATGAAGAATCTTTGTTTCCATGGATAATATGATTGAGAAGATTAAGTCTATTGGTTACGGCTATGTTCCCTAATTCCCTGAAAAGAGTTGTTCTTTGGGCAACATAGAGGGGACAGTCAAGAAAATAATGAAGTGGTGTCTCTTGTGCGAAACCACAAGCACAATGTTTGAAGTCTATGAGGTTGTAAGAGAAACGTTGATGGTTTAAAGCACTGAGACCCATTCGGATTCTCCCATGATTAATTGCAGATTTGCTGGCTTTTAATGAGTAAAGTTTATTTTTGCGTTTGCAAATAGAATGTTTAAGTTTATATTTAAATAGAGGGAGATAACCAATGTTCCTAAACTGTTGTTCAAGGTTGTTCCATATTCTAATGGCATTTGGAAGAAACGACTTGTAATTAATGTTAAGTCTGCAGAAGGGTATATTGAAAGAATTTTGGTTTCTTAAGCTATATCTGGTCTGCTTTTGGGAGAGAGGCGTTAAGAGGTCAGTCAAATAAAGCGGGGCATTTTGATAAACCATTTTATGGAAAATGGTGGTAATATGTAATTGTCTTCTGGTTTTGAGTGAGTCCCAGCTTAGTTCATTCAAAATGTCATTATATTTAGTATGTCTATAGGCATGTGAACATAATATAGCAGCTTCTCTTTGGATGTTTTCTAATGATTTACTTTGGAATAAATGACAATTATTATAAAGGACGTCACCATATTCAAGTACTGATCGAACCATTGAAAAGTATAATGTTTCTAGTTCATTTTGATTTAAGTTGTATTTAAATGAGCTCCTTTTAAGGAGGCCAAGTCTCATATTTGCTTTCTTAACAATATTGTTAATATGAAGGTGCCAGCTCATATTTGATTGAATTGTAAGTCCTAGATGGGTATGGTGATCAACTGTTTGAATTACAGAGTTGTTTAACTTTATATCAGGATAATTAAATTTATTTTGTTTAAGTGAGATTATCAGAAGTTTTGACTTGGCAGCATTAAAAGTAACTTTTCATCTTTCTGCCCATTGTTCTATTTGGTCTATATCATGTTGCATTTTAACTGAGCTAAGTATAGGGTCGTTTACCACTTCAAGTAGGGAGGTATCATCAGCGAAAAGGTTTATGTCGGTATCTTTATTTTCAACAATGTCATTGATGTAAAACAGAAATAGTAGAGGTCCGAGTATTGAGCCTTGAGAGACACCTGCTTCAATGTAGCGCCAGTCAGAATGAACAGCGTTTATGACAACTCTCTGTTTGCGGTCAGAAAGATAGCTTTTCAACCATTTTAGAAGTTGACCAGAAATTCCATATGATTCTAACTTGTAAATTAAACCAGTATGCCAAACCTTATCAAATGCCTTGGAAATATCTAAAAAGATTATCATAATTTCATTTCGATCATCCAAGCCTTTGTAAATTTTGTTAACTAAGTTTATCAGTTGATTTATTGCTGAGTCGTTTGGTTTAAAACCAGAATTTCTGGGAGTTAAGATATTGTTTATTTTACAAAAGTTATATAATACATTGAATACTAAACGTTCAAAGACTTTGGATATACAGGACAAAAGAGAGATTGGTCTATAGTTTAATTTAGATTGTTTATCTTCTTTTTTGAAAATAGGTGAGACATGTGCCTCTTTCCATGCTGATGGAAATATACCAGTTTGTAAAGAGTTATTGAAGATACCACAAAGGCTAGGTGATAAACCAAGGGCACATTCTTTCAAAATCCGATTGGAAACATTATCTGGTCCACTTGCCTTTGATACGTTAAGATGGATCAATATATCATAAACTTGAAAATCTTCAAATTGTATAAAACTAAGGTGTGAATCAGTTTTGTATATCATGTTAGGAAGTACAGGGTCATTTAGGTTTGAAGGAAGAATTGTTTGATCTGCAAAAAAATTATTTAATATGTTGGCCTTTTCTTTTGAATCAGTAATAGTTTCATTATTTTCAATTAGAGAGGGGATGCCTTGTGAAACTTTTGGACCATACATCATTTTCAAAATTTTAAAGTACATTTTGGAAGTAGTAGTTCTATCTGCCAGTTTTAGTTTCAAGTTTTCTATGCTATTTTTTTGCTCTGAGAAATTAAGAAATTAACTTCAGTTCGCTTTCTCTTGAAATTGTAAAAGTCTGCAATATTTTTTGATTTTTTCCATTTGGAATGAAGTTTGTTCCTTTTGTTAATTTGTTGTTTAATTTGTTTGGTTATCCAAGGTTTATCTTTACTAGAAATAGTTATTATTTTCTTATTTATGAAGCTATCAATGACTGTCCAAAATAATTCATACCAGTTAGATACAACTATGTTTGTATGTTCAGTTTCAAAGTAAATTATTTCCCATGGTGCACTTAATAGATGATCATTGAGGTTAATAAAATCTGTGTTATTAGGAGGCCCCCCGACAGGGGGCCTCCTATAGATTTTATAGATATTATTATTAGACTCCAGATTGAAAATCTGGAGTCTATTGCTTTTGCCAGTTTTCCTATTATTAGACTCAAGATTGAAAATCTGGAGTCTATTGCTTTTGCCAGTTTTCTTATTAGACTCCAGATTGAAAATCTGGAGTCTATTGTTTTCGTCAGTTTTCTTATTATTATTATTATTAGACTCCAGATTGAAAATCTGGAGTCTATTGCTTTTGCCAGTTTTCTTATTAGACTCCAGATGTCAATCTGGAGTCTATTGTTTTTGCCAGTATTCTTATTATTATTTATTTATTATTCTTTATTATTCTTTCCCAGTTTTCTCGTTAACTAGAAGATATTGAGTCAAGTCTTATATATGGTTTATTTAGGTCCTAGATCTAGTTTCTCGGAAATTGGGTCAAATTTTTATCTAGGTCAAAGGTCAAGAACTAGGTCAAATCCAGTACTTTGTCACTTTTTTCGATTTTCTCGGTCGTCCTTCAATATTTTCGATCCGGGTTTTTTTCATTGTGTTCCTTATAAAAAAGTAGGAAACCTAGGGTCGATTTAGTTTTTTGATATCTCAAACCGATTTCGAGATATCAGTGTCCGAAAACGAGGTCCAAAAAAAAGTTCTCCGAATCAAATGTCCAGGATATTAGTCTTATAGAAAACTTTCTCAGAATTCCGAATCTGAAAACGAAATTTGGATCTGACTTCCGGTTCGGAAGTTATGGCGTTTTGAAAACTCAAAAATCGCTAAATTTGGTGCCCATGTTAAGTCAATGGGAAAAAATATTTTTTTGAAGTGAAAAATACGGAATATAGACTGAGTTCAGCTTCATATAATCAAAGCCTTTAAAAGAAGGGGACCTCAAAAGCCATCTAGCTTCACAATTTGGACATCGAAATGCCTAGGTCAAAATCTAGGTCAAATTCATAGGTTTTCCTTATTTTTTCGATTCTGACACTACACTTTAATTATATTCTTCGAAATTGTGTATACATGTAGCCAAGAATATGCTAATAGTGTTAGCCTTTTGCCGTCAGAAAGTATTTTGACCCACTTTTGAGATATGGTGTCCGAAAAGTAGGTCAAAATAAAAAGTTCTCCAAATTTGACGTTTGAGTTATGAATTAAGTATAGAATTTTCTCAGGAATCCGAATCTGCAAACCAAATTTCGATCCGACTTCCAGTTTGGAAGTTATGGCGTGTCCGAAAAGTAGGTCAAAATAAAAAATCTCCAAATTTAACGTATGAGTTATGAATTAGGGGTAGAATTTTGTCAGGAATCCGAATCTGCAAACCAAATTTCTATCCGACTTCCGGTTCGGAAGTGATAGCGTTTTGAAATTTCGAGAAAAATCGATCTGATGGTATCCTGATAGAAAGTCAAGAGTAGAGAAGAAAATATTGAAAAATTCATCCATCCTTCCTATCTCATCCTACCCTATCCTTCCTATCTATCCTTCCTTCATATCTTTTCCTTCCTATCCTTCCTATCCTATCCTATCCTTTCTTCCTATTCTATTCTATCCTATCCTTCTTTCTTATTCTATCCTATCGTTCTTTCCTATTCTATCCTATCCTACCTTCCTATTTTATTTATCCATCTCTTTCTAGATGACTCAGCTTATTCTGGATGACTCGGCTTATTCTGGATGACTCGGCTAAAAAAAGTCTAGATCTGGAGTCTGAAATTGAACTTCGTTCAATTTCCAAAATCTAGTTATTCTTTCTTTCTTTCTTTCCGAACACTTTTTCTCAGCAACTAGAAGAACTTACTTTAACCTATTTACATGGCTAACATAGCCCATCGACCTAGTTTCTGGGAAATTAGGTCAATTTTTTATCTAGGTCAAAGGTCAAGAACTAGGTCAAATTTAGTTCAAATCAGCATTCTGTCAATTATCTTCGTTGTTGTTTGACGTAACTCCTTCATCTTTTTTTTAACATGTAGCTAAGAAAAAAACAAATCGAGAGTGTGCCATCCGTTTTTTGATTACTCTTACCGATTTTGAGATATGGCATCCAGAAAGTAGGTCAAACTAAAAAATTCTCCAAATTTAACATATGAGCTATGAAATAAGGGTAGAATTTTCTCAGGAATCCAAATCTGCAAACGAAATTCCGATCCGACTTCCCGTTCGGAAGTTATGGCGTTTTGAAAGCTCAAAATCGCTAAATTTGGTGCCCCATGTTAAGTCAATGGGAAAAAAGACTTTTTTGAAGTGTAAAATACGAGATATAGACTGAGTGCA